TATGAGTGTGGATGTTGACCTTGACCACCAGGCTGAGGTAAAAATGTTTGTCAGATTTCTATACAATAGAGTTTCTCTTTTTCCTTATTTCCATATTGTAAACCTTGGAAATAAGTCTCTATGTGCAGCCCGCATGTAAGAAGTGAGGAATTATGTTCCCTTTCCTTTAGTGTGGAGTAGCTACATCAATTATTTAGAATTCTTCTGCATGAAAAATGTGTCTCTTCTCCCACATTTATTAATTTATCCAATTACTTATTTATATCAGTATGGTCTCATGGATATTTTATACTTTGGGTTATAATCCAACACAACTTTATTTATTTTGTTGCTCAAATTGTTCCAGCTTTGGTCATTAGTAACTTTTCCAGGTGGCTCCTATGTCCATTTGCTTTGTTATACCTGCATTCATGTGAGGGTTTTTTGAACACTTCCTTAATTTCTGGAATTATAAGATGCTCCAGACTCTCCTTGTAAATTTCTTACCGCAATCCTAAAATCAGCCATTTCTCAAAGAAATCCTGGTTGATATTAATTGGAGAATTGCATTAGACCCAAAATTTGTGAAATAGGTATCCTCCCCATCCCTCTTTTTATCTAATCTTTTTTCTATCTGAAAGCTTTAAAATCTGGTCTTTATCCCAATATTCTAATATTTCATGATAATTTTCTTTGGTTGAGAAGCTATTTTCATTTAAACTGATTGACCTTCTGTAGGCTCATTCACTTAGGAGAATTGGGTCCTTCAATTTTGAGAAATTTTCTTGAATTATTTATTTGAGGATTTACTCTCCCTGTTCTCTGTTCTCTCTGAAATTCCTGTCAGCTGGAGGTTAAACCTTTGGAATTTATTCTCTATTCTTATCTTTACTATCCTATTGTCCATCTCTTAGTACATTCTTTGTGATTTTCACAATTTTATTCTCTAAACTCTTCTCTTTTTTCCCTCCCCTCCCCCACTACGCCCCTCCCTCTCCCCTCCTTTCGTACTCCACTTTTTCTCCTCTTCCTCCTCCTCCTCTTTCTTCTTCATAGATTAAGATTACAAAAACTTTCATATATAGAGCGTCCTACTCTTGTTCCATGGATGTATCACTCTTATTTCTCACATTAATTCTGTTGCTCTGTCTTTACCTCCATAGAGTTACTGGTTTTGTTGGATTTGTTTCAGTTTCTCTCTGCCATAACAAAGGCATTCTCCAAATGTCCAATGGTTCTTGTTTAGTGAGTGTGGGAATTAATAAGTGAGGGGCAGTGGAGGAAAAGATCATCTATGAGGGAGGAAATCAGAAGCTTGTGTTTTATTCACAATGGTTATTAGCATTCAAATGGATAAAAAATCTGTTCATAATTGTAATAAGAATTCTGATGAAGGGGAAGATTTTCAACCAGAAAATAAACTCTTAATAAGAATGTCCATAAAGTAAGAAGATGGTTGCGACAGCAGAAGAGAAGAGTGAGACAGCTAGGGGTCCTATCTTTGAAGAAAGAGTTTTGATTTGTTTGTATTTTGGGAGATTGTTTGTTGGTCATGTTTTACACAAGGTTTCACCAACTGAGAATATAGTGATGTGGAGTGGGAATAGAAACACTAGGCTTATCCCTACTCCTAACACTGACATTTTTGATGCTAGAATAAACAGGCCCCACTGTGGCATCCTGCAAGGAAAGTAATCCCCCCAAGGGGCTTCTCTGGTTCAAGTGCAGTGTGATACAGCAGGTTTATCTTGACAAGGTAGGACATGTGGGTTGCAGCGGTTCTCAACCTGTGGGTAGCGAACAATGAAAATACATCCTGCATATCAGATATTTACATTACGATTCATAACAGTAGCAAAATTACAGTTATGAAGTAGCAACGAAAATAATTTTATGGTTGGGGGTCACCACAACATGAGGAACTGTATTAAAGGGTCGCTGCATTAGGAAGGTTGAGAACCACTGGTAGAGCTTCCACCTTATGAATATACTAGAGGCCCAATGCACAAAATTCGTGCAAGAGTAGGCCTTTCTTCCCCTGGCTGCCGGCACTGGCTTCCCTCCAGCACCCAGGACCCGGGCTTCCCTCACAGCCCCGGCTTCATCCAGAAGGTCGTTCCGAAGGATGTCCAGTCTAATTATCATATTACACTTTTATTATTATAGATCCTTAGAAAACACAGCATAGAACAAGGGTGTTAAGGCAGAAGTGTGGGAAACAAATAGCAAATGAACCCTCCCACCACATACACCTCTGAGCAAATCAAGGGATCTCATCAGCTTATTAGGAGCATGATAATTGCTAAAATTTATCAGATCCAACCTAGTAAAATTATCTAACAGTGGTGGCAAATATAATTTGCTCCAGAACAACAACAGGAAATGGATGTACCACTCAGAAGATACATTCAATATCATCAGTTTCCCTTCTATTTTGCCTCTTGTTTCTATTATAGCTCTGCAATATGGCTTGAGATGAGTTGCGTGTTCATTACATATTACACAAAACCATACAGTAATCTCCCCTTATCCATGGTTATACACTCCAAGACCCCCAGTGGATAGCATGAAACCGCAGACAGTGCTGAACCTTGTATATACTATATATTTTTCTATATGTACACATGCATGATACATTTTAATTTATAAATTAGGCAATGATTTTATAAATGTATCAATATTAACAAAAATGCTAATAAAATTGAAAAATTATAATAATATGCTGTAACAAAATTATGTGAATGTGGTCTCTCCCCCCACACACCTTGAGAATATACCCTATTGTAGTTCCTCACCCTTCTTCTTGTGATGTTGTGAAATGACAAAATACCAAACCTATTCCTCAATCTGTGTGACCACCCCTTACTTTCAGTAAACAAGCGGTGTGGTGCTACTTGTTTCCTGGTGTCCCTGGCTGAAGTTTTCTTGTAGTCTCGGTGTTTTCTGGCATAACACGTGGTCCCCAATCAGAACAAGTTCCCATTCATGTTCTCCACCCACGAATTTAACGCCTTTTTCATTTTAACTAAGCACTTATCACACACTGTGGCCACTACTTTTGCAGTTTGAGGTGCAACAAACAGCAAAACGAACACAAATTTCTTTTCCTTCTTTACAATTTTATGGGTAAAAAATTTGTTCTTACTGTCGATCTTAGCAACCTCAGGATACGATTTCTTTTTCTTTCTGATTAAGTAGAGACTATTCACCTTTCACTCAAAACTTTAAAATTTCTCTTTGGAGTATTCAAATTGCCAGCATAATGGCTTCTGTGCTTTGGGGCCATTATGAAGAACAATAGTGGTACTTGAACACGCACGAGCCTTGTGATGCCATGACAATCGCTCCAATAAGCACGATGGCTACTGATGGTCCAGGAGTGGACAAAGGGAGGATTCACATCTTGCGGAACAGAATGGGGTTTCAAGATTTCCTCGTGCTACTTAGAATGGCACTTGAAAATGTATGGATTGTTTATTTCTGGAATTTTCCAATTAATATTTTCAGACTGTAGTTGACAATAAGGTAACTAAAACCACAGAAAGATAATCCGCAGATAGAGGGGCCTACTCTACTTCTGTTTATGTCAAATATCTTATTTAAGCTATCAAATATTTGATATTAATAAATTTAAGTTTATATTATCTTTGAATGTACTGAGAGATGCATAGGATTTTACTAAGTGAGAAGGGATGTGTCAGATTGCTCCAAGGAAAAGTTCTATGCACTGGAAAATTCACTTGTTACCACATAGCATGCGGAAGAAAGCTGGTGATTCTTATGTTGTCTGTTAGAAAAAAATCAAGTGCATATTTGACACCACAAAATAATTATTGTTAATTTTTAGGTATGATAATGGTCTTGGGTTATATTTTTTTAAAATTCTTATCATTCAGAGACATATACTGATGTATTTTTGGATAAAATGATATGACATCTGAACCACTTTTAAGTTAATTTAAGGTGGGAAGGAGGATACAGAAAAACAAGATTGTCTATGTGTTCACAATAGTTGAGGCTGAGTACTAATACATAGGAGTTTATTGTACTTTCTTTGTATTTTTGTATATATTTGGGATTTTTCATAATAAATATATAATTTAAACAAACAAAATACATGCAACAGACCCTCCCTTTCTGTGAATCGTGAATGAAACATGCTGTGCCTAAGATGGTTTTGCACAGAAACAGTGTTAGCTGAATCCCACTTTACTCCTCTGTTCTATAACTGGCAATATACAATTTGAATCTCATAAATATACATGATTTCTTTCCCCCTTTCCTCAGTGTGTTGCAGGAATTTATTTTTTTTAAGGAAACTTTACCCCTTCCAAACAAATTGGAATTATAAAATGAATGTGCTATGGCGTGGGAAAATCTCCAAACTCCCTTTGAGAAAGAAGGTTGGACAACTTTTCCCTTCACCATCCCCAAAATTTCCAAAATGCATAGTTTTTCCTGGGCCCCTTGTGTTTCAAATCACCAGAGCTGGAAAGAAACCTAGAGTGAGGAGGTTGTAGCTCCAGGCCTTTGTTCCCTAGACAGCTGCACACCTACACACACCTACACACACATCACACAGCCACACCACAGCCATGTCCAGATTTGAATGCCGCAGGCTCCACTGGGGCAGCTGGGCAAGGCGACAGAGAAAGCAGCTGGAGGTAAAGAACCTGTTCGCTGCCGTCCTCTCTCACTCTTCCCCGCCTCTCCCTCCCCATCACATCTCTTTGCCATCCTCTCCAACCTCCCACCTTAACTGCATCCCTGCTCTGAATCGCCTCTCCATTTCTTCAAGTCCAAGTCTTCTCCCCGCTCCACCTCCTTACAGATCCCGCTCCCCTCGCCCCCTCCCTTCCCAAGGCAGCTGGGGCACAAGCCCTCGCAGCTGCCGGGGTCCTGCGGCAGCAGCAGCCTCCGCAGCCGGTTTCAGTCAACATCACCACGCCCACGCCCGGGTGTTGAAGTCCAACACTGGCCTGGAGCTGAGGGCGGAGGAGCGGGGAGGGAGGAGTGGGAAGGACACAAAACAGCTTCCAGGCGGCGGGCGCGGCTCCACTGCGCATCTGGCTGGAGGGGTTCCCTGGGTTAGTGGCTGGGCAGCTGCCCCAGTGACTCGGGTTCTAGCTGGCAATTCAGTGGGGCCGTTTACTACCGAGCCTGGGTGGCATCAGCTGGTGAGGGCAGATGCTAATCTAGCAACACCATCTAAGCCACCGGAGCCCAGGAAGCCAGAGAGATCAGAAAGAAAGAGAAGCCCAGGAGGAGAGAAAGGGCTCCAGGGAGCCCAGCTCCAAGGGCTCCAAGGAGCCCAGGTGCTGGCGGAGACCCATCACATGGGAGCAAGTAAGTGTTTTTTCCTTGCCGTGTGCCCAGTCCCAGGAGGGTGTCATCTGCAGCCAGTCTTCCCCACCCAACCCCCACCGACCCCACCCCATACACACCCCAGGCGATTAATAGATTCTGGACATGAATGGAGAGAGCTGCTTTTGAGAGCAGCAGTGGCCTGTGGGTGTTTGCTCTGCAAGGTATGTGTGGGCAGTTTGTTCATCCCACCAGGTAAGCTTCTGAAACCAAGAAGTTATGTTGGTGTAAAATATCTAGAAGCCCTACTTGTCAATGGTTTTTAGGTCACATGACACAATAATAGAAGAGAAGGAATGATACCCTATGCAGGCTGGAGCATATTTCTCCTAAGGAATCTTGTCTCATATTCTAAGTAATTTAGTGATTTCAAGATTGGTGCCTTTCATGTAAGAACGGACAGTATAAAATTAGAGGCATAGATATGATGGGAACTGTTGTGCCTAGTTTAAACCACTAGGCATTTGGTATTGTCTGGATCAACAGGTTTTGGGTTGTGGTTGTTTTCTTTCATTGATTAGTTCTGTAAAATGCATACGTCCGGAGGTTTTCTTTTTGAAGCAATGATTATTCATTGTGACTCTGGCTATATGTTGCCTCCAACACTCAGGGTACCGTCAGAGCAGGATAAGTGATGAATGCAGGTGGAATGACAGTGACGGGCTCCCTTTACTTGTGGAAATGATGGATGCAGGTTTGGGTATTGGTCAGAAAAATCTCTTAAAATGGGAAGGAGTTTGGGTGGTGCTTTTTGTGGTTATTTTTTCTTCCTGGCTATTGTTCAGGAGAGTAGTTTATGGCAACAATAGAAGGAAGCAGGGCCCAATAAAAAAGAATCCTGGGTACCATACCTGCTACATGGAGCCCTTATTAAAATTACAGGTCAAGCAGATAAGGCCCATAAGGAGTAATTTGTCAGTAATTACCTAGCTAATGAATGAAGAGTTGAAGTCCAATAAAGAAGACTTTGAGGTTAAGAATAATGAAACATGATTTCCATTTTTGTGAAAAATGAAGCAAATTATTTAACTTTTGATTAAGCTTTATTTTTCTTATTGTAAATCACACATCAAAAACTTATATTCTGGTAAGGACTAAATTACAGAAGGGTTTTGTGAAGGTAATGTGTTTAACTGTTGTTTGCATAAAGAGTTTTTCTGTTTTTATACATTTATTTCACTGTTCTGGCTCTCATTTTAAGTCAAGTTCAATATCTGAATAAAAGGAGCTTTCACAGGCCTCACTAGAGGAAGTGAAATTCACATGCAGGTCATGATCTCTTGCCACCTGTACAGTTTCAAGTATATTCTAACCTGTGAGCTTCCATCCTTGCAACATTTTATGTTTAAACATCTTTGAATGCTCTCAATATATGCTTTAGCCACTTTCTCTTTTTAGTTTCAAATTTTGATTTAGTCATATGGTCTTTCTTCCTTGGGATGAAACCATCATCCCATATTGGCTATTGGTGAATGTATTTTGATCCATTAGTTACTATAGGAAAAATCAGAGTTTAGGCATACATAATCCACTCTTGAGGGCTGGGAGTAATTAAAACCCTGCACTCAGGGGAGAAGTACTCTGAGCACCTTCTTTCCCATCAATATATTTAAAACAATAGGAGAAAATCTTAAAATTGGACGTGGGCTCAGGAAGAAGGACCACCAGATCCCAGATGATGTGGGCAGGCCCCAGGACCTGCCACTGCCCATCAGCCTCCATTGGAGAGTGGGTGGTAGAGCCAGGCACCTGGGAACTGAGTCTTGTGTCTCACAGCCTCCTGTGGGAGAAGCTCTGGGAGGGTAGTCGATATATACTCCCATAGCTTGATCAGAGATGATAAATATAGGCCTAAAGCACACTGGAAATAAAAACAACAGTATTTTGCTCAACTCCTACCTAGGGAAGAAATATCCTAATAGACCCCAGCCCTAGATCTCATTATGACAGGATCTGTATCATAAATGAGGCATTCTGAGCCTGACCCAGGATCCTATCTCTACCACCATAGACTTTCTCTTGAAAGCTTATGGTGGGGGCATTAGCATAAAAAGGACATTCTTGATTTCTGGGAGTCTGGTCCCATTATTTTCACTACCAGTATCAGCATTGATCAGTTGTGAGAGGACGTGTGTAAACCCTGCCCACCCTACTAGCTATCAGCAATGCACAGTCTCTCACTATCAAGGCCAGGTAAGCAAGGTCTCATCTTTACAACATTGAAAGAAGGAACCTTGAACACTGCAGAGAAAGTTTTCATCTGATGGCTTCTAGGGATATTTTTCCATTGGTCTATATCTCTTGGCCCAGGTGGGATTATGATTTCCATGAATTTGTTCAATCATTGCTATTTATAAACCAGTCTTATTCTGGTTATATTCTATGCTGACGGGGGAACCCCCATTTGTCTGGCCAACAGATATCCCTGTTGTGTACACAGTATTTCTGACTGAATTGACTCAGACTGATGCTGGCTGAGGATTCCCACCTGTGTGGTGGCAGCCAACTGCCAAACTGACTGTATTAGCATCAAACAAGAGCTTGATTAAGTTAGGGCCGTGCCCAGGGAAATTCTGTTTTTAAAAGACTGAAATCAGGTCAGGGCATTTGGTTTTAAACTAGAACATCAGAGGATGTTGATTGGGTTGGGGGAGGGGGATGAATGTCCCTGGTTGAATCTATGGTGTTGAATGGAATATTCCTTCCTATCTGCTGTAGATGCCAGAGTGAGGCTCCCAGGCCACCAGCCTCTCACTCTCCGAGTCCTTCCCGAAGCTGCATGGTCTAAGTGCTAATTATGGGCTATAACTCTGGCTCTGGTCCATAGCTAGTTTTGTGCTAATATGTTTCAAGGCTCCTCTCTGGTTTCTCTGAAATTCGAGAAGTGGTTGGGTATCTATGTGTTTGGTTCCTCACTTGAAAAGCTAGAGAGTTTGGGGAGTAGGAGTAGATCCTGGAGGAACAGACCAACATTCTGAGAGTGATCAGGAGCCGAGGTGGACAGCCAGCTTTAGGAGGCCTTCAGGGTTCCAGTGACTGTGCCAGTTATGAAATTTTTTAAAAATTTATATTCCACAGATTCAGTGGCACCTAAAACCACAGGTCAAAAGGTCTCAGGATCGCTGATGAGTATAGAAGTTACATGCATAACAAGCTCTCCTTTGTATGACTCTAGCAGGGGCAACAACACATTCTTCCTGGTTGAGCTCTTTATTGGCCTCTGGCCAGATTTTCCTTGTCAAGGGTCTGACTAGGGTCACAGAACAGTGTGCTCTGGAAAGATTCTGGCCTTTCCCCAACACGCTTGTTTTGGTGGGCTGGACAGGCCCAGCTTGGAATTTGTTGTCATATTCACAGAAACAAGGGACATGGCTAGCGAACCATGAGGTTGCCATAGAGAAGCTCAAGTGGGCACATTTAAAGACCAAGGCGGCTTTTCTTCATGTTCCTGGAACCCCTTTGTTGCCTCACCAGCCATAATGGCTCACCCTGCTGAGACTCTGTCTCCCACAGAGACTTATTGTCCTGCATCTTCTCAAGGCATTGGGACATCCACCTAGCTTTCCTTGGTCTCATTCGTGTAAGTCAGTGGTTCTCAACCTTCCTAATGCCGTGACCCTTTAATACAGTTCCTCATGTTGTGGTGACCCCCAATTTCATTGTTACAGATTGAACATAATTAAAGCATAGTGATTAATCACAAAAACAATATGTAATTATATATGTGTTTTCCGATGGTCTTAGGTGACCCCTATGAAAGGGTCTTTCGACCCCCAAAGGGGTCGCGACCCACAGGTTGAGAACCGCTGGTATAAGGGCATTGAGACTTGGGTGCTAAGACTGTCATATGACACTTTTATCCTCCTCAGTATAGGAGGATTTATTCTCCTCAGTATAGGAGGATCACACATACTCCGAATGTGTGTGATCTGCTCTCCTCCTCCCTGGAAAGAAGACATTTGCAAAGAGCTCAGGTCCTGATTCTTTTAATGAACCATCATTGGAATACAAGTTTACCAGATTTTGAGGGGCGTTCAGTTCTCAAAGGTGATCTATTTGAGGAGAGATGGGACCTGTCCCTTTGAACTTTTGCTGCTGCTCATGATTTACAAGGCTGTTTTCCTAGCTTTTGAATCCAGAAGAATGCCTAGATTAAAATTCGTAAAATTTATTTTTAAAAAGACAAAACGACAGTGCATACTTGTGTTTTTGAGAAAGTTATTTATAATTTTCTTCTGCAAGATGACATATTGGCTGAAACTGTCAGAATGAGAGAGTTGAGACCAGAATGAAGTGGATATACTGAGGCCAAAATGGGCTGACTTGGGAACAGAAACAGCTGCAGTCAGACTCCAGGTCCAGGGACAAAGGAGGCAAAGTCAATTAGGGCAGGCGAGATAAATTGTATGCCAGGAAGAATTAAAGAGTAGGAGTCAGCTAATCAAAGTTAAACAGGAAATAAGCAGCTGAAGTGGAAAAATAATCCCAAAGCAAAAAACCAAGTGGGTTGAAATCAAGGGGAACAGGCAGCTGCAAAATTCCAGGTGGATTGGTGCCTTTTTGGTCAATCTGACCTTTATTCCCCAGCCTTCAGTGTATAAGCGTCCCCTTCTGGGTTTTCGTAATACGTACATGGTATATTACATTCAAGTAGTAGAGAACCGTTAACCAGAAAGCAACAGAATCTCCTGACACCTTTTCAGTTCCTCTTCATGGATATAGCAGTTTCATTTCTTCCAGAGGGGGAACATTATGCATGTGGTAGCATATATAACCCTATGTATATAACTCTTATAAAACATTTTTCAAAGGTAAACAAGGCAAGCCATTCCTAATGTTACATTTTTCATGAAGTAATTTATTTTGGGAATCTTTCCATATGAGCACAGGCACATCTCATTCTTCATGTTTACTAAATAGTGTCTCATGATAGCAACCTACTGGATTTACGATATTAGCTCCTTAGGGTGGACACTTAGATT